CTTTTTGTTAGCTGCTCAAGCACACTTAAATTGCCAGTGAAATAACCCACTAGTCAATTAAAGAGGATATTCCTAAATTTTACATCGAAATGCTTATTTATAAAGAACTGTGGAGCTTTTAATAAGTGTAAATAAGAATGAAATCAAACTTTAAATAGGATATTATGATACTTAAGTTGTTAAATAGTAGATTATAAACATTAAATTCTGAAGGTTATATGTTTCTGCGATTTTTTTATAATGTATCGGAATATTTTAAAATGTTAAAAGTTTCATATTTTTTGTGTTTTTAGTGTTTCGATAAAATTGAGGAAAGTTTAAAGGTCTTTCCGTGAATATTTATAATTAAGATTTGGACTTATTAAAGGATAAAGAAGTACTTTTCAAATTGTTTGGGCTGAATGTGTGAAATTTCAGCATGACTTTAAAAATCAGGTACTGTATTTTCAAAAATTATTTTTGATTGAAATTTATACTCTTTATTTCTGAAGCTCATTAATTTAGAAAACTAGACTTAATATAATTTTTAAATATGTTTTCTGATGGCTTTAATTTGCAACAACCTTTTAAGTTCATTTCTTTCCCTTTCACTACTCAAAAGAGAAACGCGCTTACAATAAAACTCTCTAAGCTGCATAATGAGAATTGCAAAAATTATGCAACTGCGAAAGCTACCATTGCACTTGGCGTAATTCTCAAAATAAAACAATTTTATTAAATTAATAAAGTATAAATTTGTCCTTAAAAACTGAAAAGGGAGGTAAGTGTACCGGGGTTATAAGAAATTGCGAAATAAATTAGGTAAAACGAGAAATAATCAAAACGCTAGAAATAAAGAAACCAATTAAAAGTAACAAAATGCTCCAAAATTATCCTGAATTAAATTTAATCTGGAATCTAGAAATAATTAAAGTTATTTCGAATTAGTAACACCCGGAGTTCTCCGTTACACAGGCTTTTCTTTCACCACACCGATACCACAAAACAATTCCAGCGTCTTCTTTTAAAAATAGCGATAGAGTAAATTTTTGGCACTCCTATGTATTTGAAATCTGTTAATTCTTTTCATCTGTAAAACTGACATGATTTTTTTTATTCTAAATAGATTTAAAGTATTTTTTAATTTTTAATTAGTTATTTTTATTTGTTTTCAGTTACTTCTATTGTTTTCGGTTATTTTTAGTCTTTTTGATTATTTTATCTTTTTTTCTGCAATTTCTTTTCGTCCTGTACACTTATAAGGTATTTTCGCCCTCCTTCCAATATGTCTTTGTTGTGTTAACGGTTGCACATTCAGCGCGTATTCGAGAGATCGCGGCGAGGGCACTGCACATTTTTCATCTCTCCTGCTTCAAAAAAAAAACCTAATGCGGCGCCCTGACTAAAAGGTGGTGGATAATAATTCGTCACCACCAGGATTTGGATATTGGGTTCCCTAATACCCAGTCTCTCATTAAAAGGAGAAGCATATAAAGCAGCATGCCTTCGTGGTGTAACGATAGCACAATTGGGGTGTATTCGAGAGGTCGAGGTTCGAGGCCCAGCGAGGGCACTGCATACTTTTTACGTCTCCTACTTCAAAATAACCTAATGACTCTTCCTACTAATTCCCTTTTTCAATTTTTAAGATCAAAATTTATACTTTATTAATTTTATAATATTGCTTCATTTTGAAAAGTGGGACAAGCGAAGATGTAATGTTTTTGATTTTTAAAAACACCCATAAATAAAATTGAACTTCAGGATTTTTGAACATAAAAGATGACCGAAATGCTTTCTTGGACTTTTAAATGAGACAGTTAAAATCTTAATACTTTCAGACATCTTTTAAAGGTAAATTACATTACATGGAAGAAAGAACGAAGACAAACATCTTGAATCTTCAGATAGTAAGTGGATAGATATGTGGAGTACATCTAATATGCACAAACAGTAAGCAGGTAACATCTCTCCATGCTGTTCGCTGTTGCTTTAAAACAAAACACTAAATGATGGGCACATTATATTGTTGCACTTATTATTGCATTCTTATCATTCATAAATGTTTATAAATCTTCGTATCTAAATCTGGAAATGAGATATTTCGCCTGGAAAATGGATTTTGATAATGCAGGGCAAATTCTCTTCATTGGATGTGCCTTTTTACCTTGTGAAAATTTTCCTCTTCACAGCAACCGTTTGCTGTTATTACTGTTATTGTTTATTTTAGAAAGTTGCTATTATGATACTAAATATTGTATTAAATAAGCTGAAAGGAATCGTCAAAATTTTGAAGAAAAAATTCAAAGACATAATGATAAGTCACTTAAGTAGAGTTCTCATAATTTAGGTTACCCAAGTGTGTCAGACTTTATAACTTGAATGAGAAAAATTAAGCATTTTTATTCTGATCTCATCAAAATATGTTATTATTTCATTAATGATTAATATTATCGTCAACACCTCAAAATAAAGCTGGAAAATTTGAGGGTCCATATGTCATATAAAGAATATGCACATCGGTTGTTTATCTAAAAACAATGGTGCGGTATGTGCCACAAATGCAGATCAAATAAATACCTTCGGTCAAAGAGAAGATACGCTTTTATTAAAAGAAAACATAAGTATTAGCTAAATCGCTAGTCGGCTTGGCTGTGCAATAGGGAATCAATAGGGCAAAGTCACAAAGGGTAAAAACAACAGCGTGGTTCTCCACCCAGCATAGGAATAGATTCCTTCAGTCAGGAGCGGCTCCCAAACTAGAGAAACTGATTCAAAGAACGGATTCATTTTACTGAGCAAATGAACGGTCATTTGAAAAAAAAAAAAAAAAAAAAAAAAAAAAAAAAAAAAAAAAAAAAAAAAAAAAAAAAAAAAAAAAAAAAAAAAAAAAAAAAAAAAAAAAAAAAAAAAAAAACAAAAAAAAAAAAAAAAAAGGAGGTAGCTCTAGAGTTTATTTGCCGAAAGCTCTTGCTGAAAACGTACTATGAAAGTTCAGTTCTCATTTTAAGAAAAGATACTCCATCTTTTTTCCTCCCATGTTATTGTGAGTTCCGATTTTGTAATTTTTCATGTCCAGAATGTTATTGTAGAAAGGGTGTTCTAAGGAATCACAGAACTACTGTTGAAAGAGATCAAAGGGGTTAACGGTTCGGTAGAATGTACTCTTCTGATTCCGCAGCTCATTCGGTGCCTTCCCCTCTTCTCTAGATCGTCTCATACCGCTCTTGATTCACTCACTATTCCTGATCTTACTCATCAAGGCTATAATTATTGAAGGGTGAATCGTACCAAAAGACCGATTCACTTCAGTGACCGAATATTTTTGATCTGATCCCATAAAAGAGAGGTTTCGCACACCTCTACTCCAGAAGTACGCGACATAGGCAGCCGCGTAAAGCACTGATTTTGTTTCAAAGGAAGTTAGCTAAGTTTTAGTAATAAGTAACACTCAAATAAGAACATACTTTGCTTTGAATTATAAAATATGTACCTTTTATACGGCATGAATGGACTAGGGATGTCGACTAGGGACTGACTGCATTTGTAACAGACTGCTTAAATACTACTCTTAATAAGTATTTAATAAGCCTTAATAAGTATTAATTTAATCATTTATAAATTTATTCCTTGAATATTTTCATGCAGAAATTCAAGTGGTCCTCTTTAGCACTTTAGATAGCTCCTCTTTAGCAGTTCAACAATATCGAAAACGTAAATATTCTTGAAAAGGCACTAATCATGTGCCAGTTTGTTTGTGGCTGCAAAATGTTTATTGAAATAGGAATGAATATTTTATCTGCCTCGGCTGCCAAATTCTCTCTTCATTGTGAATCAACATTTGCACGCATAAACGTTCTGCATCATTACATACACACACATACACAGATATATATATATATATATATCAAAACGAAAGAAAGAAGAAGAATCCAAAGTATTTTACATGACCTGCAAAAGTTAATATTATCTTACGATTAACTGCAATTCTGGACAGATATATTTAGATATTCTGACAGATATAATTCTGACAGATATATTTAGATAAGCTATTAAAATACTTTATGCTTAACTAAGTTCTTAAAGCAGTTAAAATATGGTGTCATTGATCACACTTTGCATTAATTGAGATATTCTCAGCCTAAAGTTAAGCATCATGTATAATACATTAAACCTTTACCGAGCGTGGAATTGTGGAAAGCGATTTCATATATACACGTTATCTCAATGGTTTCCATTTTATATTTCCAGCGCTAGAATTCCACTCATATGCGGTTCAACGTCAGTTCAACAACAAGGAATGCTTTCCAGCATCAGCTGTGGCTAGAAGTGCTCAACAATTCTAAAGGACTTTCATCGACTGAAAATGAAGCTGAAGAAATCGTATGTATTGTAGAAGTAACTTGCGGCGAAGGATTTCCACGTATGAAAGAAGAAGTTAAAACATTAATCGATAAATGATAAATGAAGAGCTGAATGATCCTACAACACCAGGCTGATAGTGAATGCAGTAATAACGAAGAAGATAAAACGCCTTTAGTTTACAAGAACATTAATTGCTAAAAAAGGCACGGGAATTGTCTTATTTCGCAATGAAGAAAGATGGCATTTTATGACAGACATAGAAAACTCTGCGCTTTTTACTGCTAAATTTCTGAAGAGTTCCGGCAGTTATAGTCCCAAGAAAAATCGTGATTAAAAAAAAATTGCTTTAAGCAGTATTAAATATTCTTTTAACAAACATGCGTTTCGTTCTTCCTTTTACTTATAAAATTATTAAGTTTCGTTTAAGATATAAATACATTCTTAAGCTGAATTATACCTAGCACATTTTTCCATAGAAACTTTAACACAATTTGTAGGTATGGACTATGTATTAATGACGTAGCCCCCTCATTCAGAAAAGTTTTACTGTACTCATATGTAACAGGAATATTGATCGTAAATAAGTAAATGCGCGATATAATTAAGTCACTTTTAAATAGCACTGCAATTTAAACTTTAATAAAAGGTATTTTGAATTCCCTGTGAGACGAATTTATTCCTTGAGAGTTTTATTATCGCCATTTCAAAGTACTAATGACTTAAAACACTTTCAATGATTTGAATAATAAAATTCATTGTATAAATAACTGATTGATCAAATTATCTATATTATCTGAATATCAAACTATATAAATTATCATTAAAGTTCTGTTTCTCTTCTCTGTGGCATATTTCCAGCTTGTCTGTTTGGTCTTAAGTCTTCAACTAATTTTGTGATCATATCTAGCTCAGTTTCCATTTTTCGAGATAGCTTTCTCAGTGTTCTAGAATATTTGGACTTCGAACCGAGTTTGAGGTCACTTACAGAATCATATATCGTTAATATATTCAAGCATATTCTTCCAAGTACAGGCACTGAATTTAACCTTTGTTGTTCTAAAGGTAATGCAGGAATACTCTGCCAAATAATACCACTTGCTTGACCAAATTCGACTTGCATGGTCATTCTTGCAATATCTAGCTCCAGGGGATGTTCCCGGTGCATGACTCTGCAAAAGAAATATACGAATCTCTGTTAATGAAAAACATAGCACGTGTTACAAGGAAGTATTAACGCTACCACTTTACATGCATTTTAGTGAAATTTTTTATTTTCTCTAATATTCTGCTAATCACATTAAATAAACTTAAGAGAAACACTAGTGAAGAGAAATTCGAGAAGTTCATTGTTATAAATTTTATGCATTCCCTATCTTTAACTACCTAAAAGCTGTTTCAATTTCAGTTTCATTTTACAAAAACGATAATATATTGCTGATTGGTATTGATCCGAAAACAAGATTACATAATAATTCACCAGTTACCAGGTTTATCATTTTCAACAACTTTCAGAAAACCTGCCAAATGATAATTAACAGCATTTATTGTTATAATATCTCAACTTGCTTTTATTAAAATATTGTCTGCTAACGGAGATAATTTTCTGTACAATTAATTGTTTGCTTTGACCCACTGAAAATCTGCACTTTTAAATTCAAAAGTTCAGCAAAGAATTGCAGCAAGATTTCATTGTAAGACGAGAAAAGCATCAACAGAGATGGTCGAAGTTATTAAATTATTAAGTTAAAAATTATGTGATCAAATATTACAGCAATCTAGTACTTTTCGTTGTAAAGACAATTTCGTTTTGCTCGCAAGGATTATTACTATTAGTTCCTTCATGGTCATCCATTACAGTCTTGAAACAGATGAGAATATAGGAAAATTGTTCTACAATGTACAAAAGTAGCATAGTTTCCAAAAAACGCAACCTGACTCTTTTAATGATAACTGATGAGCTTAACATCAGCAAAGACAGTGCGCACAAAAATGTAGTGTAATAGATCTTGAAAAAGGAAATGTAATGGATATGGAGCTCCATAATTCAAAGAGACGAAATAGAGAGATTCTGGAGGTAATTCAGCATATTAGGTCTGGAAAAGCTTAGTCGAAGTCCTCACACAGTTCCATTATCATCGAGCAGTTTCTAGCAAATGGAAAGTATCTCAGCTCTCAATTATCCTTTCATTTACCATATTTAGCCTTTAGAGATTATTTTCTATTCCCTAAAGTAAAGTCTCATATCAAAGGGCATTATTTCAATATCATTGAAGGGGTTCAGAAAACCCTAGCCAGTTAAACAGTACTTCAAACGAATACGTCTGTTTAATTCTTTCGGAACTGAGCAGCTGTAAGAATATGTGGAGCATTGTGTAAATTTATAAACACATAGTAGTACTATAAACACATTTATGAACACATTTTAGTTTTTAAAATACATCTTTATATTATAAAGATTATATTTTAAAAACTAAAAGTTAAGAATTTTTATTTCTTCAACTACCTATTTTATTCGAATTTAGTGCGAACTAGTTCTTAAACTTTGTTAATGCACTTTGTATAAAAAGACACTATAGCTAAAACTACTTTTTAAGTTATTACAAATGTGAATATTTTCAGGTTCCTTTTAAATTGCTCACAAAACATTGTAGTTTTATTCTAGCAAGTAAATAAATTAAGAGAGAGGATGTACTGCAAAATATAACAGTGTGTAAAAAATAGGAATTGTAAGATGATGTCATGAACCTTAACCTGACAGATATATTTAGATAAGTGAAGAACTATTACGTTAAAAGTAACTCTGCACATAGTCCATGCATTTTTTTTATGCTTGCAAAACAAATTCAAGCTCTAACAACGAAATTATTTATTAACATGTAGAGAAATTAGATATTTTTGGAAGCAGGAAAGATAAAAAATTAGCATATGGAATACCGGCCCAGCATGCATAACCACTACACCACGAAGGCGGGAGAAATACCTTATAAACATGCGTTTTCAAAAGGCAGCATGTTCAGATAAATTTTTCAGATTGGAACGTACCAATCTACATAAACTGGCCTCAAAAGCTATGTGTTAAGATGAAAAAGTACAACAAAATGTTTGTGGCGTTTAAGTTTTACTTTTAATAAAATGTTATTTGGTTTAATTTTTTCCTTTCTGACCTTTTTTAGAAGCGGTTTAACTGTTGCTTGTTTGATGGTTAGATATTCTGGTGGTGATAATCTGCCTCACACAGGGCCAGATTACCAATTAGGCACAGTAGGCACGTGCCTAGGGCCTACGAAGGCCAAAGGTCTTAGGGCTTTGAAAAAAAATATATTGAAATAAAAATACCCCAAAAACTTATAAACATTTTTATATTATTATATAGTGAAGGTCAAAATAATATATGTAAATACAAATACACAAAAAATACGAATACAAAACGTTTGGTTTACTAAGTAGATCCTAAAATAACTCCTTTTTTTCGGGAATTTGACACAGCGAATTCGTGTATTATATCTTCAAAATTAATGCCGCGAGCGACATCACTTTCAATACACAGAAGGCCCAGTGACGAAGTTCTCTCTTGACCCATAGTTGAACGCATAAAATTTTTTATAAGCTTCAACTTGGAGAATGATCTTTCTCCTTCTGCATTCGAACCCAATATCGAAAGGTATATGCGCAATGCAATATTAACATTTGGGAAACTTGACACAATTTTATCCTTTATTTGTAATTTGATGAGATCCGTTATAGAGGTGGTTTTGGGGTACAAATTTGAAAAAATCAAATACTCATCAACAAGTTTTCTTCTAAGTCAGACGGATACATTTTTACCAGAGCTTGAGCCTTAACCTTGATAATGTCCTCGGTCAGTGTATTATCCGTAAGAAAACTAAATGTGTCATAAAGGCTGGTATACGCAGTGCATCTCTTTGTCATTTCATTTCAGCGCAAAGCACATCCAGAACAATAAAAAACATTAATCTTAAAGGAATCTTTGGCACTGCGAGAGGGAGTCTCATCTGGCCCTTCATCGAACTGTCGTTTTTCTCTTACGAACTCTAGTTTCGGATTCTTTAAATTCTGAATCTGGTGCAAGGGCTTTTGCCTTAAGATAATAGCTATTATACATGTCCTCAGTTCTGGCAGTGAGATAAATATTGAATTAAACTGTCGTAAAGTCGCACCATCGTGTTAAACTCGATGCCAGGTTCTTGAAGAGAGATTTATTTTACAATATCGACGTGTTTTAGTAGATCTCCTCCCAAATAAACTGTGAGTAATACCATCTCCAAAGTATTCATTTGATGGATTAAGGTTTTGTGCCTCAATCACTGTTGTAGGTTTCATACCTTCACTAGTTGAAATATTTGTAAGAATACCACGTATATCATCATAATGGGCACATAATGTTTTTACAAGCCTCATAACGTGCTGACCATCTGGTCTCTGAAAGTCTTTTTTACAGAAATTTTACTTCCCAAAGACCTTAGTTTAGACCATCTTTGAGGGGGACGCTGCAAAGAAATTGTAGAGCGATTGCAAAATTTCAAAAAATTTTACAGCTTCTAAGCAGCTTTCTGCCGCCGCTGTGCCAACTAGATTAAGACTATGAGCTCCACCTGGTACCCAAGTGGCTGCGCTGTTGATTTCCCAAATCTAGTTTGTACTCCCGAATACACTCCGCTCATATTAGCCGCATTGTCATAAGACTGACATCTGCAAAATTTTGGGTCTATTCCCTGATTTTCTAAAACTGAAATTAGTGTCAAAAAGATACTTGGCATCATGTTTTTCTATTTTAACAAACATCAAAAATCTTTCATATATATCTCCAGTTTTTGAGACATATCTAATAACTATGGAGAGTTGATCCGTATGGCTAACGTCAGGTGTAGAATCCACAGTGATTCCATAATACTTGGCTTCTTTGATTTCTGTAACTATTTTTTCCAATACTTTTGACCCCAGTAAAATTATTAGTTTTTCATACGTTGTGGAGGATAAATATGATACTTTTCCGCGGCCTGGATTACCGTATCTTCTTACATGTTCTTCTAGAAACGGATCAAATTTGGCTAAGAGATCGATACACCCAAGAAAATTGCCATTACTAGGATCACCATGTATTTCATTATCGCCTCTAAACGCTAGTCCCCTTTCGGCCGGCCAAAACTTAATTGCTTCCACTACTCTTCTTAAAACCGTTGTCCAATATGTGCTTTCTTTTTTCCTTGACAATATCAAAACGTCTCATCAATTTTTCTAGTTTGTTGGTAGTTCACTAAAGCAGAAATAGATGCAAAATGTTCTTTTGACACTTCATGACTTGAAATTCTCAAATGTGCGTTTTTCCAGTCATTAAAGCCTGTAAGGAATTGGTTACACAGGTTTGGATTTCCAGGTAGGTCCGATTTGAACAAAATACATTTATAACAAAAAAACCTTGCCAGTAGATTCGGAAAATATCAACCAGTCCCTTTTTTATAATATCATTGTTGTTCAGTTTTCTGAAAAAAAATCTTTGTGATGGACATCTCATTATTTCGCCAAATTTAGTGGCGTATAACTTAAAATTTATATCCAATTTCTGCACAGGGTGATTACGAGAGAAGTAATCGATAAGATCTGCGCTTATGGTTGTCCACCGTGCTGGATCAGAACTGAAAATACTTGAGGCTGATGTTGTTGGTAGTGATTCATCAGGCACCACCTGCTTGGAAGCGTCGTTAAAATTTCGTAAACCCCCGTCAGCCTCGTCTTCTGTGACATTCTCAGTTTTATTGGTTGAACATTCTTGCGAATCCCAACAAGCCTCAGCTTCTTTAGGTCTAACCTCGATCGAGGAAATATCTACCGCATCTGCATTATCTTCTGTCTCCTTAGAAATGTTAACATATTTCAATAAAGAACCTTTAATTTTACTAAGCGACTCACTCACTTTCTCTTTCTTTTGCGTTTTTTCATGTCCAGTTTGGTGTTTTTCTTTTATATCCATCAGACATTTTTCGCTAAAAAAAAAAAAATATTTAAAAAAAAAGCTTTTTTATAAATTGCGCTTAAAAGTTTAAAATAATTTTTTAACTTTCTGATATACCATAATAAAAGCGATGGGCACGCACAAACTAAAATTTAAAACTTGTTTTCTCCTTCTTTTCTCGTCACCTTTAAATATACATTTTAGTTTTGCGCCCGTCGCTTTTATTATGCTATCAGAAAGCTAAAAGATTATTTTAAATTTGTTAAGTAATGCATTTTAAACTTGTAAAAACGAAACCCGGATTTACGAGTATGGATTAAAATTAAGCTATTCCAAAGGTGATTTGGACTGTACTATTTCTACGACTACTACTGGAGATTTTTTACAATAGTATGGCCAAACCACCCCATAGTAGGCCTACTCAAAGTTCCTTGCATTGTGCTGCATTCTACGCGGCGGACTATTATACTAATAAGAAGTGATAAAAATGAAAATTCTGTTATTATGATGGAATGAAGCAATATTCCAGAATCAAAAACTAGGTTGAAATAAGTAGAGTATAAAACAACTTTCCTTTACTTACCTTACTTATAATAAATTTAACTTCCAGTTTTTAAACTAAAGATTGACTTGGGGTTGAGCGTGATTAAATACAAGCACAGGCATACACGCTCTATCGTAGTGTTGACATATTAACTTATTACACAACTGAGCTACTAAAACAAAAGACCTTAGCAGCAGGGAAAACCTCTCGATCGCGCGCAAGCGTTTGGTAGTGGGCATGGAAACGTGGCCAACTGTGTCAAACGCATGTGCCCGTCCGAGAGGTTTTCCCGGCGGCTAATGTCTTGTCATGTTCATGTACTAAAACCCTGGAATTCTGCATGGAATTTGGTAGATATAAAAGTTGCATTGTTGCAGATAAACTCAATTCTGGAATTATGGCTATTGAAAATGGCCATAATTCCAGAAATTTTATGAAAAATAAAAACATTAAAATCCCAAAATAAAATAATGTTATTTTACCGCATCATCACATTTTCGGATTTATATCTACAACAAAATTATTACTTAATATTAGCGGTCAATTTCAGTTAAAAAATGTTTATTATTTCGGGGCCTACGCTGCTGGAGTGCCTAGGGCCTACGACACCCTTAATCCGGCCCTGGCCTCACAGAATATAAGTAAAAATTTATTATTATTCCATTGACATAGCTAAGTTATTTGCAACCCACGGCACATGTTGTAAAGTAATAATGTTAAAATTTTAATAATCTTCTTCGACATAATCGTTTTGAATAATGAAGTACTTATATTGTTAAAAACAAAATTAATTGCAGTCGCATTCCTCAAGAAAAGATAAGGTATTACAGAAGCATTTTATTAAGGTAGAATGTAAATGGAATGATGGGTTTCCTTTGCACTCTTGAACACAAAATATTAAATAAATCCTAGCTTCAAGAAAAGATGAAAATGCGTTCAAAAGTTTCAAAGTTCGAGGAAATTCGCATTTGAACACAATAAAAATATCAGTTAGTCCTTTAATTACGATATCCTCCAATAAGATGAAACGGCTATGAACTTCATTTAAAAAAAAACCTGTTAAATAAAAATTCTGCTTTTCAGAGTGACATTTAAATGCATCTTTATTAAAACTTGATTATCTGTTTAATTGTTAAGCCATATTTATTTCATTACAAAATAAAAGAGATCTTCTAGCTTACCTTTCTAACCACTTGACACCAACTTCACTATTGGCAAACAGCTGTAGACTGCAAAGGAAATCTGCATCTTTGATAAGATTTCTGTCTCTTCTACCATTAGTTACAAGCGCAGCATTGAAAAGTTTCCTGTAATTGTTAAGCTGCATTGTTGAATGTTGAATTTCTCTAACTATACTTTTATCTATCCCGTATGGAAACAAGCTCTGGATTGCAGCATCAAAGTCTTCCGACTGATTGAACCAATCAGCTATAGGTTCGAATAATTCTTGATCTTCTTCTGTGGAATTTAAAATTTCTGTCTGCAAATTTTTTGTTCTCTGTACCTCATAAACTGTGCAAAACAGACCACTAGCTCCACAAACAGTGGCAGCAAGGAAGGCTTTGCTTCTCCAAGGAGACTCTGAATTTAACAACAAACCACCTACAGAGCCTGTAATGTCAACCGATGCGGACAAAAGGCGCGCAGCAGTGAATATCTTAGAATTTCTATTTATGATATCAACTGATGTTTTTAGTAAATTTAGCAGACTATATCGTTTTGGTTTCCAAGCGTATACAAGCTTCACAAATTTTTCATACTCTAAAGCATACTTGTTCTCAAGAAGTGAAATTCTTGATCTAGCAATCTGCGTTTGTGTTCCAGAAAAATCTAATTCTTCGTCATCTACTATTTGTTGAAGCTGAGAAGCAATTTCATTGATTCTGCTGTTTGAATTTGGATCCAAGGGATTGAGAATACTGTTAATGTCCCTCTCGTCATATCTTTCTAGTATCGAATTTAGTTCTTGCACCTGAAAATGAGAATAATAAATTTCAGTACAGAAATTAATTTAACTATGAAATATAAATTTAATTTAATAATTCATCTTCTCTTTTAATATAATTTCGGCTTTTCACTGTTTAGTTCTCACTAAACATAGCATTGATTTATCAGTGTCTAGTAAATATACTATCAAATACTTGATGTATATCATGGGTGTCTAAACGATGACCGTTTGAAGGCCGCATTGCAAAGAAAAAAATTTTGCGGGGCCGCATTTCAAAGAAAAAAAAATTGCAGGACCACACATATAATATTTTTTAACAGATTGAAAATAAAAATTAGCTCTATGTTGTTTTATCAAAATAAATTGAGTTCCTTTTATTATTTTTAAAATTTGAATTAGATATGTGTAGGTACATATTTATTATTAATTTGTAAAAGTTTCGTTTCATTTAATTTGGATTTCATAAAGATGGAAAAAATAAAATTCAAATTAATGAGATGGATGAATTTGCTTTTGTTGAACAAGCAAATCAATATATGGTTCAAAGACGAGGTGCATTTCTTAATGCCTTTTGAAGATGTTTGTCAGTGATTTTGTCCTATTTTTGTTTTTTGCATGCTTCATTCTTGAAATTAATTGTTAACAAATATAGGTATTACCAAAAGCTGAACGCATAAATAAAGCATGATTGTGAAAATTTTTTATCGTTTAATATTTATCGTGGAGTAGGTAATCTTTATATAACTCCAGTAAAGAAACATTTTCAAATTTTTCTTTCAGTTGAATGTCACTTTGCAGTTCATACATCGTGACATACTAAGATGTTTTTATTTAAATTTTTATTTTAAAATAAATATCAATGAATCGATTATATATGAATCAATTCAAACATTTATTTTTTAATAAAAATGTGTAAATTTAAATACTTTCATAATTTGCGTTTGGGCAGCATTTTAAAGACTTTTGGGCCGCACTTTAGACATCCGTGATGCATATAAATTCTTTATAAATTAGAAACGATTTTAACACAGCTAACAATTCTTTACTCTAATTGAATGACCAGTCAATGATCAAACTATGTCCTACTTGTAACCTAATTTTTATTTTTTATTTTAAATTAAAATGTTCTTTTTATTTGTGGAAAAATACAAGTCTTATCTTCAGACAGGGGCGTCGCTTTAGGGGATGCGATGAATATCTATAAATTTAAATCTGATAAAAAAATAGCTATTTGTTTAACTCTATCGTAATAAATCCGTACCAATTACTTTTCATCTGTAGCTATACACTGAATCGTTGATTTTAAGAGTCAGATATTCAAAACGAGATAACCGCTTTCAGTTCATAAGCCTTTCTACACATCCCTTATCGTAAAAGGACTAGCTCGCCGAAGAGCGTCAGTATTCAGTCGACGAAATGTTAACAACGTATAAAGCAAACGAAACTCCTTCGCACAAAGTTTGAACAGCTATCGCGCTCTTGTATGCTGTGAAGCCAAAGCTACACAAGGAGAGAATTTTCATTGTTTACCATTGAATTTAGAGCAATTTATTACGATTTTTCAGTATGCTAGTTGCAAGGTTTGCGTTGTACTTCACATTTAATTTAAGGCTTAATTATTACTTCTTTCAAAGCTCCGTATATGACAGTGTATTATTCTGTGAGATTAAGGGAGATATCTTTTCTATAAATCTGAAGCAATATATATAATTCGAGAAAATTATCTGATTATATCTAGAAAAGATTTTTTTCTTAGTTTCTTTTCAGTTTTTTGTAATAATAGAATAATTTCTTAGACTAAAGTTGAAAGAACCAAATTCACCTCTTCATTGACGAAATAATTCAACAGAAGCGTTCTTTTCTCGAGGATTTTATCTCCATTTAAGAAAAATTTGTATACTACTGACTGGACAGCATCAGCGTTGGAAAATTTCACTATGGTCTGCGTTACGTTGTGGGGTTCCAACCTTTTGTCTAACAGCTAAGTGTGTAGGAATCTCAGGAAAAGGTAAGCGAATAATAGCTTTAATTCAGAATACAGAAACGTAAAACTCAAGAAGGGTTAGTTATCCTTTTTTTCTGAAAATATAAATTTATCAGATGGTTCCTTTCTCAGAACGTCCAGCAAAAGCTCCACTTGGGCTTAAAGTAATAAGACAATAAAACTTCACTAATGCTTAACTGAAAGGATATAGCCGAAGCTATTAAGATGTCTAAGTTGTTGGCCTCTAATATGGCTGAGCGTAGTAATAGCTCAGAGTGTAGCCAAAAGGCAAGCGCTCGCTCTAGTCAGAAACCCTGGCTCTCTTAACGAAGTTAGTGGAACTTCGACTTAAGTACCGCTTCTACTCATTTGCATTAACCGCGATTCTAAAACCACATTCTGGTAGGAAATCGTAAGCTGAAATTAGGAGGGACAGGAAAGTAGCTTTGACTAAAGATAACTGTTAAAAACTTGGGATAAACGTTACAACGTGTGCACTTCAACCTCAGAAGTTATGACGGGAAAAGAGAAGGTAAATACTTTAACAATCGGCGAAGCCATTAATTTCGACTTACATATATGCAAACGAGAGTAATTGTCATTTCATTTATTTGAGTGCTATTTATGGCTGAGTTTTAGCTATATTGGTCATTAAGTTTTTTGCTTAAAAATTTATTATCACAGTACAATGAATGTTTGATTTATGTCTAGTTAATTTTTCCTTTCTGCGCTTCTTTGAATTTCCCTAAAACATTGTTTCAAAATTTTAATACTTAACGTTTGCTAAAAACATTTCAAGAATGGTTTAAAAGGGAACGGAGGGTCTAAAACAAGATCTAATTCAAAAACAGTTTAGCCTTCGACCCTTTTCTTTCTTTTTTTTTTTTTTTTTTTCTTTGAGAACGAAAAAGAGAGACTCAAAAATTGCACACCTTGCTCTTCTTTAACGAATGTTAAAAGTATAAATATTCATATTAAAAGTATAAATAGGTAAAAAAACAGCTATTTGTAAGACATTTACAAGCTGCTAAGTACGAGAAAATTAGCTGGTTAGCTGACTGTAGTGTTAAAGAAAAGTTTCTCTGATGGCCTTGTCTGCTTTTGGTGTTGACAAAACAACTAAGGATGGATTTAGCAGTTTGAACGTATTATCAGTATCCATCTCAAAAAATGAAAAATCTCATGGTCATATTGTAAAGACATTAGGTACTTTTGGAAACGGGCAGGATGAAAATTAGCAAATGCCTTCGCCGGGAATAGAACCACAAACCTCTGGAATACCGGCCTAGTGTGCTGACCACTATACCACGAAGGCACGCTAGAAAGGCGGTAGAAATACCTTATATACTCCCCCTTTTAAAGGGCGAGTGTGGTTTTTTAGGGGACCCAATCGCCAAATCCTGGGTGCGAGGAATCATCATCCAACACTCTTTTAGTTCTGGCGCCACTGTAAAGTCATTAGATTAATTGGAAAAGCCGTAGAGATGAACAATTAGCAACCACCTTCAACGGGAATTGAACCACGGAGCTCTAGAATCGGCACAGCGCGCAGAACCACTACACCACGAAGGCACGCTAGGAAAGCGGGAGAAATACGCTATAATATTAAAGCAAGTTTAGAGCTTTCCACTTCTGGACGATCAAGTATAAATCTCCCGTTCAATCACAGAAGAAAATATCTATAAAATTTCATAACGAGGCCGTAATTAAAAGCAGGCAAATTTTAAAACGATTGATAGATTGTGTATGCTTTTTGACAAAACAGGAGCTGTCATTTTGAGGCTATGATATGTCTATAGATTCAGTAAAATAGGAGAAACAACACAGAATTGCTAAATCTTCTCAGCTTGTATGATACTCTGCTTAACAATGACCTCATAAATTGCATTTTAAATGTTCTCATGAATATTTAAAAAACGAAATCGGAAATTCTCAGTTTGTTTCAATCTTTCTAAGCGAAACAATTCAGTCAATAAACCACAGTTATTCACATGCTTCAGATATGGATATGATAAAGAATAACTTCAAGAAATATGTATAGGTTTCTGTGACGTAAGTACCGATCGCTCTGCATGTTTTCAAAATTACAACAAAATTTGAGTGAATCAAATTTTAGTGAACAGATCTATGATGGAGCAGCAGTTATGATGGATGACCTATGATGGAGCAGCACGGCAAGTACCTGGACCTGCAGGAGCAAGAAGAAGAAAGTATCCTCAAGCCTCAATATCAATTTCACACATTGCTACAACTAATGTTTTAAATTTGGTTTTGCAACAATCTGCATGCGCTATTAAAGAATGTCGCCTGTTTTTCAATATATGTTTAAGTATTTCTGCATTTTACTGCGTAATCCTATGTTCTAATGGAAAGCATTTTATGTTTTTACAATATCTCCTAAATTTTCTTTTTCTTTCAGTTTTTTTACTACTAAGTTCATTTGATAATTACAGTCGCGAGACACTAAATAAATGCTTAGCTTTCTATCTTCAAAAACGTACTCATGTGTCGTAAAAAAAAGACCTGTATCATATATCGCAGACTAAAATTTATCATCAGACTATTATACGTATCGTAACTCATATATCAGGAAAAAGTCATATATCGTACACTCCTGTAAAAATTTATATAATAACGAAATTAATTAAAAAACATTAAACCCTTGTCAATTTACCGAAACATTTCTTTCCTTTCATGAGCTGTTTTACTGTTTTTAAGAAGATACAATTACCTGGTTATATTTCATAAATAAACCAATTCCGACTCTTGGATAGGTTCAAACTCTAATATGCGACATCTGTTGTTATAAAGTTTGACCATCCTGCGTTTATGCATACCGGTTTACTTAACATTATCTACATGAGGATAAAGAAACTGAATGTTAATACCTCTTATAATGTAGTGAAAAGTATTAAAAAAATTACCTAATCTTTTTTTATATAAAGTACGTAGCTAGCAGTATTAATCTTAAAATTTTAGAAATAAGTAATCAATACTTAAATGACAGTATAATTTGGTTTTTCCGACCAAGAAATTTCTCTCTACTATTAAATTATACATCCGAAGAGAACCTTTGAAATCTCGTTCACCAGCAACAGTATTAATCAGAAAGGGAAAAATCATCAGTCATTACTTCTACATGAAAAGAAGACTCCAAACGAATGCTTGAGAAAGGTGCGTACTGTTTCTAATGTTTCTAAAGGTAAATCATTGGTAACAAGAAAAATCCGCAGACGTAGAAATCACTTGCGAAGTTTTAAAATACATCTTAGTAACAATAAATAAAATAATAACTAAATAGGTTTACAGTTAAAAAGGCTAAAAAACGTAATGTTCACCAGCTTTTCCGAGGCTTGTGGCTTAACGGAAAACGATTTGTAGAGCTCTTCGTGAAGACAATTTAAAAAGAGATAAAATGGAAATACATCATGACACTTCATGAAACATGAGTTTACCTTTATAAGTGCAACAAATAAAAGGTCTATTTACTATCAAAAACGAAAAGACAAAAATTTGCAAGTCTGATTCCGTCAGTGCAAAGCAAATTTCAAATCATGCTTTGAAAAGTACCACTGCATTCCTTGAAAAAATAATGACGACTGATGTAAGTATTTCATGTATACGTTTTCAATGTATTCCTGTAAAGTGCCCAGAAGTTTTATCTATGGACTATTGTGGCTCTGGTCTCTCGTAAAGAGCTTTTTCCAAGCGCAAATCCACCACGATTGATAGACTCTGGAATTTAGTGAAAAAAGAAGGAAAATCAATACACCAGAAAATTTTATAAAATCTCCTATCATGGAAATCACAATACAGACTTATAGTCTAGAGCAGAGGTTATCAAACTTTTCAAATTTTGTACCACATGAAACTGAAACAAAAATATGTGTACCACCATAAACATTTCGACATCAAAAATCAATGCATCATAAATAGAGTGTATATAATCAAAGAATATTTTTTCAATGGCGGGCACTTGCCTACAATGCTGACCAAGTTCCAGCGTGATAAAAGTTTACTTACTATAGATTTTGTGAACACCAGGCGTATTTTACTCATTTTCTTATTGATAAAGAATTTTCTTCCTGCTGATCATCCACTCTATCCATATGCCCTAAAGGGTACTTCTTAAAGATTCAGTGTCGTGAAAAAAATTGTAACACATAGTGCAACGGTATGGGCTCAACCCACACAAAGACTTAAAATTAAATATCTCTTCAGCATACAGAGACACTTCTTAGCTCATATCACTAGTGCCTACTGCACAACTTCTACAAATGCAATCTCTATCCTTGCAGGGCTTTTACCTATACGCATAAAAGCTGAAGAAGAAGCGGTCTGTTAACTAGTCAAAATAAGTGAAAAAAAACCAGCAACCTCAGACGATGAAACATTTCACCGACACAAATGTAAAAAGCAAGCCACACGCCTGCACATATAAAAAGACATAGGAATTAAAATTAAACTCAATAACATAGACACACAGATTCCACCTCAATTGCCTAATTAGAAATTTATACAGACGGTTCAAAATTTGAGTTCACTATTGGAAATGCTTTTATAGAACTACGTCATAAGCAGATATAATATCAGTGCATAGATCAGCTACATAGCAACAGTAGAATGTTTCAAAATGAGACAATAGCTATAATTAAAGCCATGCTATATATATGTAGAAAGAAACTTTATAATATCAGAATAAAAACTGATAGTCTGTTTACATTACATGCAATTTTAAATCAGCAAAACCCTTCGCCAAACATTGCTGCCATACAAAACGACCTACGAAAATCTAAAATTCACAATATCCCATTCGAATTGATTAAAACATAGGCTAGCAATCATGGCAATGAAATAGCAGAATGTCTTGAGAAAGACGGGAACAACGGCCCATCAAACTGAGATTTTGTCGCCACCATCGAACCTCAAAGAAAGCTTAAAATTAAAATCAGTAGCCATATGGCAAGAAATATGGGATTTTAGTGATACCACATTGTATATGTAGGCAAACACCGAAATATTAATGGTCTGCAGTTAGTAAGATGCATCTTGAGACATGGTCCATTCCCCGTTTATTTCGGCACAATTTGGAATCAGAGACACAGAACTTTGCATCTGTGGAGAAATAGGAAATCTAGAGTACAACAAGCTACGCTTTAGCTGATAGTCTACATATAAAACTTCCAACAACAAATAGGAAGGCGTAGTGTAAAGACTTAATTGTAAATACCTAATCAATATTTAATTAAAAAAATCACCCAAGTCATCGAAAAACTATCCGCGCAAAGAACAGATTTGTGTAATATTACGTACATATAATAGCATACATCAATTTTAAACTAGTTATTAATACCAGGACTTTTGTATAACCCTGAATATATAACTTTGAAATTAAATATTTCAACATATGTATATATATATATATGTATTTATGAATATTATTTAATAAAGATGGTCGCGCTATACATCCCTCATGTGGTAGAAGGAAGTTACAGAATATTAATTTTTGGCTCTTGTTTGATATTTTGTAGAATAAATCAGCGATTCCTTAGTGTTAGTTTGGAATGTGGTCCAGACATCAGTGCATGTTCAATGGTTCCACACAATTTCTATCGTATTATAGCTTCATATGCAGTTAAACGTTTTACATGAAGGATTTTTTTGGATATTTCAAATACTTATACTATCTTTAAAAAGATGAATTATCAAAATTCTAACAGAATCGGTCACTGATTTGTAGCTTCTTGCTATGTTCACCTCAGATATGGAAATATATTTACATATATTCCTAAAATAATTAATAATTTTTAAATGCAGACGATAATTTTTGAGGCATTTTCACTTAACATAAAAAATTACAAGAAGAAACATTGTCTACCAAAACATCTCAACAAAAGTCTGGAGCGTCCGAGTAACTATGTGAATTACTGAATCGCTTTTATGTAGATGTGAAAAGTGTGATTCAGAACATGGCAAGGAGGTAGGCCAATCAATTCAAAGTACTTTCTTACTAATATATTTGCATTCATAGTAAATAATTTTCACGAATCAGTTCCCTTATTTTAGTAACGTGAATGTGAAGTTCTTCATTAAACAACTTCAGATTACGGTGTTTCGAAATAATTTCTATTTTATGAGTGCTTGAATATTGAGTTTTTAAGACTTACCGCAGCTGAGGATCTGCTGTCAGTGCTTCCTAATCTAGATGTAGATCTACTCCCTGATCCGCTTGTTAGTGACGATAACTTTCTAACATTTTCAGTGTTTGGAACTTCTAATAATGGTATCTTATTCGTCGTACTAAACAACATCGATGATGATTTTCGTTCATTGCCATACGGTTCGCTAGCCCGTCTTGATTTGTATAATAAAACATTTTCTGCTCGTTCTTCAGTCTCTTCCATTATGACAAATTGATATGTAAAACAAGAGGCAAAATCACTTTTAAAAGTATAACTTTTATCAGATGCTTATCTATATTTCTGGGAATAAAGCGATTTCGCATTATCGAAAGGCTTACCTGCGAACAGTTGATTATCGCAGATAACATTGTAGCTCACTGCAGACAAAGTAAAGTTCAAACCATATTCAAACATCAGGATTTTTACTGCTTTCATTTTTTAAATTTCCCTTATTATGCTAAAGAAACTAAAATGAATTAAACTATTTCTTCTTATTTTTCATTCTTTCTTTTCCTCTATAAATTATATTCTTAAAATCAATTAATCTGTGCTATTAAATGTATTCGAATTACCAGCATTTAAACCTGGAAAATTGTCGATAAATTTAGTTTCAACGAAATTTGATTATCAGCTACATAAATAGAAAACTTTTCTTAACTTTAGTTTCTCTAGTGCTATAAAAAGGTAGTAGTTTCATACACTGAAGTTACTTTTGTTTATCCTTTACGTAAAGTTACTTTAGTTATTTAAAATATCTTAGATTTTTATTGCATTCTTTACCCAATATAATGCCATTGTTGTAAAATTACCGCCCAGAATGGTGCTTAGCGAAGCTTATTAAATGCCTTATTCACAGCGGGGTCGAGGATTAAATAATACATGAATGTTTGTGACCATAATATCGTTTTACAGTAAGGAAATTTAAATTTTTGAGAGGATGATGATAGAAGACGAGCACAATCCTCTCACAGTTATTCCTCAGATGTGCCTTCGGCCAGAATCGGAATGAACATTAGATAGTCGTCATGCTTTTTTTATTGAATTAAATAATCCCGTTAGTAATTATTACAATAACCAGGATTAACATTTTACATTATTTTATCACTATAACACATTGTACTACATAATATAAAATTTCCACAATAGTTATGTTCGTTTTCTTTTCTATGAGACTGTATGTGTTAGACAAATTTCGAGTGATAATAATTATTTTTGCTCTTGAAAACTAAGACTTTGAAAATGGGCATGTTGTATAGAATTTCTCCAATATGCATTTTGGTTTCTCCCCAGAATTTCCTACAAATTTCCTAGTTATTTTGTATTTATGGTAACTGGTAATTCTACATTTGCTGGTCGTAACAGATCCTAACATTTATATATAACCTATTCTTCATACAGTAGTACCCCTTTCGAAAGTTCTAATAGCAGAATGTTATGCGTTATTCGTAGATGCACTATTGCTTACACTCCGGGGCTGTTAAGTGGCATCAGTCTTGATTTATTTTCTCGGAAATCCTGAAATCATTTGAATGAAGCTAGAAGTTCAATAATTAGGTTTACGAATTCAATTATTAGATAATTTGTAATAAAGAAAAACTAGAGTCCTGTATTTATTATAACTACAGAACACTACTGGCTTTGCGAATTGCTACACATTGAAGGCCGCACAGGATAAATTTGCATAAAAGCTACAATCAGGCTAAGATTATGACAATGATTAGAATTTCGTAATAATTACGTAAACTATGTAAGTATGTTCTAAGCCACAATAGTAACAGTATATTATAATGTTTTTTATGTATCTTCTAATGCTATGTATGCGGGACAGCGAGACAATACACTTAACATCTGGGTAGAATGACGGTGTCTCCGCCTCCCATCAATCGTAACCAGCCAACTCCCTTGTATAAAAAGAACTCTTAACAACATCTCAGAATTTGATCGAGGAAGAATCATAGCCCACGAAACTGTGGATTATAACATTGGACAATTTCTGCTCGGGTTCATTCAGATATGAAGACCATGATGAAAATCTGCAATCAATAGGTTCCAGAGGGCCACACGCAGCGACATGTAGAATCTTAATGCCCTATCTCACCAATCGTGGAGCCAACAGACATATAATCCGCATCACTGTTAGAGCTCGTAAAGGTACATCACATCACTGCCAGGAAACAGCAGAGCACCAAGTATCCGTGCGTACGGTATCATAAAGCTTGCAACATGAAAGATTACGTTAGCAAGGAGGCCATTGCTTTGGCTTCCTTTGGCGGTACAGCAAAGAAATCCGTACCTATATTGATGCATTCAGAGACGCACATGGGCGGCCGCATCAGTGGCGTGATGCCATCTTTCCTGACGAATTTTGCTTTGCTTTCACAGTAGTATCATGATGGTCGTATCCCTGTATGGAGGCACTGATGGAATCGAACAGTGGAAGCTTTCGTTTTTCGTTATTACATTAGCCCAGCACCTAGAACCTGGACTAATGATAAGGGGTTCCATTAGGTACTTATCTCGTTTACCGCTAGTCCGCATATTAGCTAATTGCGCTAGCCCTTGTTGTATTAATGAATTTTCACTAACCGTGGCTCAGCCATATCTTCTGTGTCTCCATCGCCTTACCTTTCAAGAGGACAATGATATACTAAATGTTATCCTCGCTGTTTTATACTTTTCAATAAGCAAAATGTTTAAATACTGTCTTGATTGACTCGCTGTCTACATCTACCGCCAACTGAAACGTCCGGTCAGTGATTGCAGAGAGATTAATATTACAGCCACATACAGAGAGACTGATGTAACGACAACTGTTTGCCAATACAATATATGGACATCTGGCATAGAACTGGATATACTCGTAACGGCCATCGAACCATGGAAGTCTTTTTGAGTCCATACGCATCCTTACAACATCTGATATTGTTGCCAGATGCAGATGCTCAGAATACCGTGTTTTGCACATTCTGTACCCCAAAATTATCTTATATTTTAATCATTTCATTTTTCCATTATAATGCAGTTTTAAATGAACGTGAGTCTACTGACTGTTTTCCTTCATGGTTTAGCACCTTTATTATACAAGCAATGTAAACTATTGTAGAGACATTAGGTATTTTTGGAAACAGGCAGGATGAAAAATGAGCAAATGCCTTCCCCGGGAATCGAACCACGGACCTCTGGATACTGGCCCAGTGTGCAAAACCACTATATCACGAAGGCACGCTAGGAAGGAGAAATACCTTATATACTCCCCCTTTTAAAGGGCGACTGGGGTTTTCAGGGAACCCAATCGCCAAATCCTGGGTGTGGAGAGTTATCATCCACAACCCTTTTAGTTCGGGCGCCACTGTAGAGACTTTAGGTATTTTTGGAGCAAGAGAGATGAGAAATTGGCAACTCCCAAATCATTTGTTAACTAACTAGGACATAGTAAAGTGGAATGACATATTATACATTTTTCACATTTTTATGCTAAAAGATGTAAAATCTTTGAAACAAAATTGAATAAAAAATAAAGCTTCTCCTTTTTAAAACTGGATAGTTTCTCAATTTTATACCTAAAAATTTTTAATTTTACTATTTAAATTTTAGACGGTTAATAAATCAATATCAATATTTTCTTTATTGTCAAAGCTGCAGACAACGACAATTTACTCAATTCTATTCTTTTCAAGTATTATGGCATTTTACTGTAAATACGTTTAAAAACATACAAGAACCTCGCGAAACCCGAGATCCTATATTCTAATTCACCTACCGTTTCCTGTGATAGTTTCATGATACTTTTGCGAATACATGCTGCATGTGTATAACGCAATCATTTAGATCTTCATAAGTAAAACATTTTATTTATTATATATATATATATATATATATATTATTTAACTATTCGTGTACGTGTAACTACGTATACGTGAAAATCTTTTGACTTACAATATTTTGTTCGTTCATTAAATATTGTATGAATTATAAGCAATAATAAATTTATATTCAAGTATATAAAATTATTTCATTCCTTTGAAATTTATGATAATGCGTATTTAAGCAGTGATTTTTTTTAGGAGCTGAATGTGAAATATAGTAAAAATAAAAACATTTATAAATATATGTATGCATAAAAATTAAATATTTTTGTCAGTCAGCCATTTTATGCATAGAATACATGACGAAAACTTTAACGGTTGAAAAGTGTTTTTCTTGGAGGTCTATTTAAAAGCCGTACTGCATGATATGCATATTGATATCAAATGCCAGGATTGAAAAGAAACTTTAGAAAACTATTAATTTGAAAGAATACTAATTTTCACGGTTGGAAAAATTTTATTTGCACAGTTTTGCAAACTTCTTGCATCATCGATATCTTGAAACTTTGAAAACGCAATATAGGTGTCTGTTTGATATGTGTTTATACTAGAGATATTTTATTTTGATATATGTTATCTAGAATTAGTCATACTTTTATCTTTCCAGTTATTTATTTCGCAGTAATAACATTTTATCTCTTACTTCGTTTAGAGATTTTTTTTTCTATACGTCTTTCACTTTTACTTAACCTTATTTTTTTATGCTAAGGGTATTTTCCCGCCTTCTTAGCATGTCTTCGTGGTGTAGTGGTCAGAACGCTGGGCGCGTATTTCGATTGGACCATGGTTCGAGTCCCAGCGAGGGCATTGCTCATTTTTCAAGTCTCCTGCTTTAAAAAAATATCTAATGTCTCTACACTTGTTGCTCTATTATTTTACAAACTATCTTTCTAAGAGGGTGAAAACTCTGGAAAATCGCTTAATTAGATATTCCTAATTCATTATTGTTTCAAAGAGGGCGAAGTGTTTGTTTTATTATTTGTGAAAATTTCAAAATTATGCATATAAAATTCAAGCAACTTTGGGGGTGGAAATTGTGGGTTTCCTAGGATTTCTGTGGATTATTTATACAACTCATTAATTTCAAAGATATTGTTTTTACTTTATTTGAAGTTAATTTTTTTTGTTTTTAACCATTTCCTTGAAAACGAACGGAAACAAGGCATTAAGTACTGAGATTTATATTATTTGCTAGCAATTTTTTGCTCTTTTCTCCAACTTACCATTTTGGTATTATCATTTAATCTTTAAATTGTTTAGTATTAATATTTTTGACTTTTTCGAATATTTCTTGTTTTAGTCTTATTCATTTGTATTTTTAAACTGCTTATTAGTTTAGGAAAGTACAGAAATTTACAAAATATTTTATAAAAATTGCTCTCATTTAATTAATGCTGCAATAATTTATTGAATAACTAAATTAGTCTTAGAATTGGTTTTAGACTTAGTTTTTCTTTTACAAAAAAATAAAATATATGTTGCATTCATTTAGCCGACCGAACATTTAGCCAACAGCACACTTAACCGATACTGACATTTAGCCGATAAAAGCTTTAGCTGACAGCATGTACATGTAGACAAAAAAACATACGACAATGTTTTAATAAAATTTGACCATATTTAGTTGAAAAAAAGGCTCTTTCCAGGATATCCAAAGAAAAGATTTATGAATAAGTAGCATATATTTAACTTTACATGATAACAAATGCCATATTTTACCATATCTTTATTTATTTTAAAATTAAACAGAAAAGCAAGCTTATTTTGGACGCAGATTTCGGAATCAGTATCGCGAGTAATCAAACATAAGTCTCTATATTTCGGTTCGGTTTGGTTTATTTGATTATGGCAAAGCACTCGAGGGTTATCCGTCTAAGGGGAGGGATGCCTTCGTGTATGGATAGGAAGAATCGACTAACAATACCCTTGATGAAAAGGATCGGTGACGCGGTGTGAGTAAGAAAGTTAGCGAGGATGGAGCGGAACAAATCGGACTAGCAGAGGGATCGCGAACCGTTAGCGAGGCTGGGGCGAGCACTGAAAAGGATCGAATGAGCAGTGTCATAGAAAGAATCGACTCAATTAAAGGCTATATACACGCCTAATAATTGTTGAGGAATAAAATTCTCCTGGTATTTTATACCTGGGTTTGTGTACTTTTAATATATTGCCTTAAACTCTTTGAGATATTTTAATATGCACGTATATATACGTTCTTACAAATATCAGAAAAAATATTCTAGTAATGATATTCTAGTTTCTATTCTCTGACTTTCAGTTACCGCCCAAGTAGGGGCGAAGTTTGTTAGCGTCAAGCAGACGCATTGTAAATTTTAAAGAGTTAATATTGGAGTTTTAAAGAGTTAATAAACTACACAGAAGAAGGGTTTGAACCCTTCTTCTGTGTAGTTTCCTGCTACTCCTGTATCCAGATAGAAGTTAACCCCCTGGACACTACATACTTTTGAGGCGTAATCTGTGAAATTCTTTTTTTTAAAGAGTTGCAAAGTTTTGAGGTGTAGTGTTTGCGATTTGTTTCCCCTAGTAAAATTTTCCCAAGTATGTAAATGTTGACTGAAAAAGACAACAAGGATATGAGTCACTTCGGTGCAACGTATTAAGGAAAAACTCTGCATATTTTCTACCGAAAAGATCTAATATGTACTACTGAAAATGTACATGTTTTCCATCGAGTAAAACTATAAATATTAACATTGGAGTTCTTTTTATTTTAATGCACACTATTTTATTACAATTTCATTTACCATGTAAATATTTTATTAAAGTTTGAAAAGTCCATCACAATATACAAGTGAAGTAACAAGATATGACAGAATAGTTGAAGACAAATATAATGTAAACTGGAATAAGGCAAATGTAATTAATGTAACACAAATTATTTTTTATATAATTGCAGTTCATTCAATATATATATCCGAAAAACATATATGCGATTCCACAAGAAGTTGAAACAGTTAACTCTTTATACATTAAATTCTAGTTTTGGGCTCAAAAGTCTAATCTTGTCTCCTTGGCTTCAAATGTAGCACTAGGTTTGTGATGCTATCGAATTCATTCTGCATTTCAGTCATTATCTTTCTCAATGCATATGCATATTTAGACTTTGCTCCCTGCCTCAAATCTCTAAATGTTTCAATTACTGTTAAAAGATTAAGACCTATTCTTCCAATTACAGGCAAAGAACCTAGCCTTTGTTGTTCCAGAGGTAAAGCAGGAATACTTTGCATGATAATGCCACTTGCTTGACCAAACTCAAACTGAGTGATCATTCTTGCAAAATCCAGTTGAATGGGATCATTCCTAAAGAACACACTTGAAAAAAAATAAACAAAAACTTTAGTGATAGAAAAGACAAAGATTAGAGAATGTAGATCTTAATTACAAAAATTATACATTTAAATATTCATTACAATATTCACTGTTAAACACTATTTTAACCAGTGAAATTTACTGCCCAAAGCATTAAGTAACGTTTCAGAATGCACTAGAATTTTAGGAAAAGAAAATTTGAGGACAAGCCTCACATTTCGATTATTTTGATCGCTATCATTTTTCACCATGAGGGAAGCTGTGTTTTGATAAATTCGTGTAAAATTTACCAGCTGTTCATGAGACGTAAAGCGAGATGTGAAGAGCGGGAGCAACGTGAGAAACTATCTGTCCTACCAATAGGGTACGGAATCTTTTTTTCTTTTAAGGTATTTAACAGATAAAATTTTGCTGTAAGGAAATAGATCGGCAAAGGTGATCCAGCGTCATGAATGAGAGGTGACGCCATGCATGCGTGAAGGCAGTTGTCATGTTTGGTTTTCTCCATGGGTTCTTTTCTGGTATCGACCTCGGCTTGGTGGAGAGGCGAAAACATACGAGGTACTTCCCGATCATACGCCTAACAAGCCCTCTGAGAGGGTCTCTCGCAGCGTCTGTATATCGGGAATGATCGTTCACTAGGTTGGGAGCCTGTCTGTTAGGTTACTCCAAGTTGTAAATGAACATCAGTTAAGTCAAAAATATCCATCGAGAAATATCAACAATGTTTTCATATCAATTGGAATCACAATCATTCATAAATTTCTGAAAATTTTGCAGTTTAAAAAAAACTGTATGGAATGGATCCATGTCATCAGTAGTTTGTTCATAAAACTGGACTTTAAGACTGTAACTGAAACCCTGGCATAATGACAGAATTTTTTATTTCCACTTGTATTAAAGTACTTGGTGAATTTTGTTTGAATGCCACAAAACTGTATTTTATTACAAGTAATGATTTGTCAAATCATATTATGAGTATGGATAAATAAAGTACTTCACACTAAAATGAATTAACTATAGGTCTTGTTAATGCAGCTAGGTAAGTAAGAAGAAATAATCTAATTTTATTATGAATAAATACAGAGTTATTGCAGTAACAACGCATTCTTTAATGACTAAAATAAACTTTCTAACTCATTCTAAAAATTATTATACTGTTAAGACACCAATTAAATAATTAAAACAGTTAAAAATATATTCTATGACGGAAGGGAATAAAACAGTCTGTATACTGAAATCACAGTTTCGTTCATTGAAAACGGTTCGATTAAAATAAATTTTGGTTAGCTTCCAAAGCCCTTTTTTTTTTTAGTAAACAATTATAAAATACTTAAAGTCTTAGCGTTGTAATGAGTTGTGAGTATTTATAAGTTACTTGAGAGTTAATTTTATTTTGAAGCAATCTTTCCTATTACTCTGGCTTTCAAGCCACGCTTTCTTGCCAAAATATAAATGAGTTAGCATGCGTGTATTCAAATGAGGTAGAAAGAAGTTAGTATTTAAATAAAAATTTTGGAAGGTGAATTTAAAGCTTGTCCTGTCTGAATGCCACGTTTTTATCTTTGATTTAATAGCTATTAGATTTCTATGGCGCTGAGCGCTTCTAGCCATTAGGCTTGTTTACATCGAGTTTTACGAGTCAGAGCCTGTCTGCGGGTTAACTTACTTGTCACCTTTACAGTTAAGCCGAAAACGTTGGCTTTTGTAAGCACAAATCAGTGCCATCTCTGAATAATATTGAGTTAACAGAGGATTCTTTACGACTTTACTTTGGACTCCGTCGTGCTTAAGGATAATTCCTGACGCAGTCTGTTAACGTTTAGTTGGTTTATGCTTGCGAAGAATAAAAGACGTTATAGAGTAAGACACAATAACACGCCGAATAAATACTAATTCAGAAGACAAACAACAAAAATCAGCTTTACATTCACAAAATTTTCACAGGACTAGTTTCGATGGTTTTACCGAACCACCATCCTCAGCTTTCATTTGCGGTTTTGCAGCTGAGGATGGTGGTTCGGTAAAACCATCGAAACTAGTCCTGTGAAAATTTTGTGAATGTAACGCTGATTTTTGTTGTTTGTCTTCTGAATTAGACGTTATAGAGTGTTTAAATTTTGCTAATTTTGTTCCATTAATAATTACACACTCTTTGCTTACATAAAAAATTTCCTATATAAACTGTCATCAATTTAGTTTTTAAATCCGGTGTAATCCTTTTTTCAGATGCTAATGTTTAAATTTAGCCAACAACATTTACATTTATAACGAATGCAAGAGCTACATTTAAACTTTAATACATTGCAGGATTCTCCACTGTGTACTTCTAAGTTACAATTGAATGTTGTAGAGACATTAGGTATTTTTTGGAAGCAGACGAGATGAAAAATTAGCAACCACCTTCGCCGGAAATCGAACCACGAACCTCTGGATTACCGGCCCAGCTTGCAGAACCACTGCACCACGAAGGCACGCTATGAAAGTGGGAGAAATACCTTATAATGTGAAGAATCTTAAGAACTAGTAAGCGAATAATCGCTTGAGTTCGTGAGGTAGAAAACAACAAGTAAGAAGAGTACACTAACCCTTTATTATTCCAACTAAAGTTTAACAAATCTCCGTCTTGGAGTTGTAGAATAAAGCCGACACTCAGGCTTCAAATTAAGAAACTAAGAAATAAAATAAACTAATCTTAACTAAAAAGATATAGCCGAAGCTATCAAAATTCGAAGAGAGTTGGCCCCTTAACGCTAACTGACTGCGAAGCTATCAAGGGCCTAAGTACGGCCGAACGTAATAATAGCTTACGAGAGAGTGGCCTAGAAAGGCGGACGCGTGCTAGCCAGAATATCTGGTATCTCTCTCACTGAGACAGTAGAACTGCGCGGTTAAATATCGCTCTTCCTCATTAGCATTCAGACGTTATTCTAAAACTACGTTCTGGCCGAAAGTGGTAAGCTGAAATTAAGAAGCGATAGGAAAGGAAGTTTAAATCAAAATTTAACTATTAATAAAATTAACATAATCCTTACAACATGATAAAATTCAGTTTATTCTGGATAATATCAAAGAATAATTGACTCTGTGCATTTGTTCATGTATGTTCATCTTTTAAGAAATAAAACTCTTCTATTCCTAATGAAGAAAGTGTAACCTAGTACAAATTATTTTCCTTAGCATATCCTTCAGAATGCCCTTTCCCTCGTTAAATATGCCGTAAATTCTTCGTCGTGTTTAAACAGCCATAAAACTAATGTAATTCGTTTGAAAGTTTGTACAGCACTGTAGAAAAGAGAATTAAATATTTATAATGATCCTCTAGAGTTTCATTCCTGAATTCCAATGAAACTGCCAAATGCAGACAGCATACACTGCTTGTAATACCTGGAGGATATTGACACAAATATGATACATTTTATACTTTTTAGCGATAAGCATATAAATATTTGCAAAGATCCTCTAGTTTTGATCCTTGAATTCCAATGAAATTGCTCAATGCAGATAGCATACACTGCTCAGAACATCTGGGGGATATTGACACGAATATGATACATTGGATACATTTTAGCGATAAGTATAATGTCCTAACAATGTGACTGAGGCGAATCGGTAGCTTAAAAGATCATCAGTCGATTGGAAACAGGCCAGACATAGCCCGCTGAAAGGAAACCTTTGGACTATTCCAAAGTATCGTTTCAGAGCTATGAAATCAGTTTTTGTAAAATAGAAATATTAGGTAAAGATCAGAAGAGGGTCACAGGAATGCTCGTTTGTATATTGGCAGATCTATGGTTTGTGATTCATTGACAATTGGCCAAAGGTACTGCCAGTAGTAGAGTGGAACAAGAGCACCTCATATGGAGGCGAAATGAATAAAGTTCTGTTCACGAACAAGTACCGTTTTAGCATATAACCTAATATATGACTTGTCATTTGGCTGGAATGTAGATTTGTGAACGGACAAGTCTGATTTGTAGGACAGGGAAGTGATGATTTGGCAGGTATCTCCATTAATGGCTGTACCAATTCAATTTATGAGTAAAATTCATCATCAGAAACTCATCCCAGTGAACTCATTACTCATTACCCATCATCACAAACGGATCACGGATAGATCAGCAATGACAGGAGAGTTCCTCAGATATTTTCTATCCTCTTACTCTGCAACAACCTTGGACTGTCCAGCTTATTACCCAGACATGAATCCTATCAAACATGTCTGGGACATTCTAGGGAGAAGAGTTTCTAATGGTTTATCATTGTCAGAGACAGCTCAGCAGCTGGAAGGCAATATTCTGCTAAAGTGGGAGGAAATAAATTCCAATCCTTCCTTTATAACCGAATTGAATCCATGCCTTACAGGTACGTAACATTGCTTTCGGTCAGAGGAAATCATATGCCTTATTAAAATTAATTTGGTTCTCAGAAATCACATTTTTGTGACATGGATAAAATATGCATTTTTTTGTTTTCCAACAAAAAAAAAGGGAATAAAATTTAATTACTTGTCGTTCAGTGCGTAATTTTCTTTTCTCATGGCTTACAATACCTGTTGATCATGTACGAACTAAGAAAAGAGTTCTTCGTCCATGGTTAAATGCAAAATCATAATATCCTTTATATCCCCTAATCTATGTAGTTTAAACTTAATATCACACGAACCTGATAATATCTGAGTACATCTAAAATGAAGTAACTTAACACGTGTTGGTAAAATATTTGGAAAACTATAAATAGCAAGGCAAAATTAGGAAGAGATGAGTTAGGAATGGTGACCGGGATAGCTGAATATTTTATGATCATAGTAACAGAAAGATTGAAGGTCATAGAATGGAGCCTTTTATTGCGATTGTTCTCTCATTGCTTTTATACAAGGTCTTAGAATATATTCTATTCCAAATTATACTGCAGTAAAACATTATACGATTAACTAAAAAGAAAAAACTCTCTTTCTGAACTCTTTTGTACTTTTTAAAATTTAAAAAATTCCTGAGATTCAAGAATACGCAAATAAAAAGTTTGTTAGCAGAATGCGCAACAGAAGAGTAAAATTAAATGCTTTTAATTTATGTAAACGCATTCTCACTTTAGAGAGAATAAATTTTCATTATATCTTGTTTAAAAGCATAAAACTTTACTTAAATTATTATGAAAACAGACTAGCGACAGAAAGCATGGTCAGTGAGAGATATTCAGAGTATAAAATTACTCAGAAATCCACCTCTATTTGAAAACATAATTAAGAATGATGTATTTTGTTGTCTAGAGTAAGAGAATCTATAGGTGACAACTAGGTCAGAGGAAAAATTCATAAGTTGATAGCGAAACAAAATTGCAGTTCGTTGTACATATTGATGTTAAGGTCTCTGAACCTACTGAGAAGAGTGTTACGGTATTTGCTTATAAGCACTGTACTGTGTGGAAAACACTTCTTGGATTCCAACGTTATGAACCAATTTCTTTAAAGAGTGAGCCTGGATTTTGCTTAAAAATTAAAGATTAAAAAAGGCTTAGAATCTTTTTTTTTTCCAAAAGAAAAGCCAAAGACAAAACAAATTGCCAATAATATTCTAGCAAGACACAAACAATTAATGTTCTAGAAAAACATAATCCTAATAATTAAATCCGTTTCCCCAAAGTGTAATTTTAAATTGAAACAAAGTACGAATTGAGATAACCTTGAGGTCCTGCAGAAATCAATACCCACACTACCTTTCCTTGTACTCATCCAATCAAATTCCATATTTGATTGGCCATGTAATACCATTAATGTTTTAACAATATTTATTTCGAAATTTCGAAACATAGTACTGTTATTTTATTTTAGTTACAAAAATAAATTTCCTTACCTATCCCACCATATCGATGCTACTTCGCTTTCAGCAAATAATTTCAGACTGTTTAGAAAATCTACATCTTTTATGAGATTTCTGTTCTTACGAACATTGGAAAGAAGACCGGCTTTAAAAAACTTCAAATATCCATCAAGTTTGGCAGCAGAATAATGTATTTCTCTGACTAAACTTTTGTCGATGCCATATGGAAATAAGCTTTGGATAGCAGCATCTAATTCTTCAGAATCGCGCAACCAACTAGCAATTGGTTTGAATGCAATCTTGTCTTCTTCTATGCAACTCAAAATTTCCGTCAGTTTGGAATGCGTACGCTGTACTTCTAGCACCGTAAAGAAAAGCCCAAAGGCTCCAGATATAGAAGCAGCTTTAAATACTTCAGATTTCCACTTTGATTCTGAATTTAAAAACAAGCCAAATACCGAACCTACGATATCAATGGTAGTTGATGAAAGGCGAGCTACTGTTGTTAACTTGCAGTCTCTGTCTATTATATCAGCAGCTTCCCTTAAGGACGTCAGCAGCTTAAGCCGTAATGGTTTCCATTTTTGCACCTGTCGAAGAAATCTATTATATTCTGTAACATGCCGCTGCTCAAGTTGTTGGAGTACTCTTCTAGCTATTTCAGTTTGAGGTCCAATTCGACTGACAACTTCATCTTTATGCTCTAATAATGAGTGTATTTTTTCAACCCTTGATGTAGAATGGGAATCTAAATAATTCAAAAAACTGCTGATATCTGTTTCATCTAGTTTTTGTAAAAGGTCCTGAAATTTTAAAATGACAGTGTTTTATTGGCAAGTATTTAAAATTAGAAATGCAAGAATAAAACTTTTAGTCAATTTAACAGGAATACATTAATATGTTATTTGCCTTAGACAAGGTCGACTACTTAAGCACTGGAAACGAATTTAGGTCATTTTTATGTAGGCCTGATCCAAATGTGTTATTTAGTGTGGAATGATTGGTTTTAAATTGCTTGCATTCATTTCTTTAACTCCTATGAAATGAAATTATTTAAGAAAATGATACTATTTCATATTTAATGCCATAATAATTAGTATTATTTCCATATAAATATTTTCACATAACTTACACTAATTATTTACACATAGTCATGAGTAAAATTATTTATGGAGAAATGCATCCAATTTCATTATCTATATCTTTGATGACTTCAAAACGATTTTGCTATATTTTCTAATAAAATTTTTTATGCACACTTAGAAAATTGTAACTTAGGAAGATATTAGCCGTCTTTGCAAAAGACCAATGAGTGCACATGATTATTTTTAATGCGGTTTCTTGAAAACATCGAGCCACATGAGGATGGTTAAAGAAGCGAATAAACCATAACAGCTGATAACAAATGCACCGTTAAAAATCTTTCAGTGTGCAGCTGCATATTTTAATTCAATACTCGTATTTTATGGTCATTACATTAAAGTTGTTTTTATATTTAACTCAAGAAAAGAAATCAATCTCTGGCTGTATTTAGAAAAATTAAGTAAGGTTATTTGAATATAGCAAAGTAGATAAAGGCTTTTTTAAGAAGAGGGAAACGATCGTGGAGTACATTTTAAATAAAACTGGCTCATAGTCACAAAATATACGTAGGTAAAATCACGAAAAACATCTACGTAGCCTTCCTATTTGCTTAGGTTTAAATTCGTGTCAAGAAAACTTCTGGTAAAATTCAAAGAAAGCTCTGTGAAATAATACAGATATAACAAATATTACTAAACTGATTTAACTGAATTAAACCTTTCAGTCAAATTCAATTACAAAAATTGATAAGTAATTTATTTCTTACAGAATAACAAATTTCTGACCTACCGTAAGTGCTTCCATAAATCCTTTTTTATTTTCTTTCGATTCATAAGTTGGTTCATCTGATTCTTCAGAACCATCTTCTCCGTTTTTAACGCTTAATAGCTTGCTTTCCATATTAATAAATTGTCTACAGTAAAGACGATGTCGAAGTTATCTGACAAACATGAATTAGTCTGTGAATGACATGAATTTCTTATCAATAGGTATCGGTTTCTGTTGCACGAATCAGTTCGTTGCTATCAAACTCATCAACAATGCATCCAATTTCATTATCTATACCTTTATCTTTGATGACTTCAAAACGATTTTGCTATATTTTCTAATAAAAGTTTTTTATGCACACTGAGAAAATTGTAACTTAAGAAAATATTAGCCGTCTTTGCGAAAGACCAATGAGTGCACATGATTATTTTTATAAAACTCATCTCTTACCTGTAATCAGAATACCTCGTCGGTACGTTAGATAAAAAATAGTTATGAGTACATAAAATGTAAGTCTGGAAGCTACTTGCCTATCCTGGTGCTTTGATTTTGAAAACCGAAAATGTCCTTCCGTTTGAATGTAATTTAATTTCAATTGGTCGGTCTTCTTCATATTATTTAAAGTAAACAAAAATACTTTTCCGTTTTTCTCTCTCGGTATTCAGTACACATACATATGTGCAATGAAAGTAAGTAATAGGTTAATTGGGAATTACTTTTCAAAACAAAAAAACAAACATCATCTACAGACAATATTAAACCATAAGCAGGAAACTTTCAGGATTTAATAAAATGAAACGTAATCATCTGTACTTTTGCCATCTGGGAATAATGGAAAACTCATTTTTAAAAATTAATTTTACATAATGTAGTCAGCTGTACTCTTATTACCCAGAATCCTGACTAGAGTAAATAATTATTCATTTTGTTTAAAATAACTGAAGAATTCATTGCTCATATTACACAATAGCATAAATGTAAATAATAGAAACATTTTCCACAGGCATTTCCACATCTAATGCAAATGAGGTGATAAACGGCAATATCTTTGTCTTTCTTACTTAGATGCAATAATCATTTTTAATTATTTGTTTCATTTGAATGCGCTTAATTATCCTCGTTTACGCCAATTTTTCAGGTGTTATCTTGCATTTTAAGCAACTTTTTATATTTAAGTTCTTGATACCTGCAGTATTCTTAGAAAATACACTCACGAGCCAAAGCATTATGATCACCCCACATTTTTAAACAAAACTCGTCTGGATGACGTAGAGAGTATGTGATTAAGTGGAACTACTGTTGAAAACGGTAAGAAATAATTCTTCCACTTACTTTTGCAAATGATGGGAAAGGCTGCTGAACTAAGCGCATTTAATAGAGGACTTGTAATGGACAGAGTGTAAGACACGGAATGAGTATCTCCGAAACTACACGACTGGTAGGTTGTTAACGATCTGTTATCGTCAGCATTTATGCAAAGTGGATAAATGACAATGAAACCAGCAGCAGACACCAAGGTGTTGGACGTCTACGTGTCAACAAAGGAAAAGGATTTCGCAGACTGTCCCGCTTGTTACAGTAAAATTGGCGTCAGACAGGGGCTCAGCTGACAGCCCAATACAGGTCCAAGTGTTTCGGGAGACACAGTTTAGAGCAGCGGTCGCCAATCGGTGGTCCACGGACCACTGGTGGCCCGTGAAAACTTTTTGATGGTCCGCAGAAAAATTGGGACATTATTTATATTTTTATGAAGATTCAGTTTAAAAAATGAGGAGTAACAAAACCTATTATGAAATATGTATTATACATTTTTTTTAAATTTAGCTGCTTCTTTTAGCGAAATTTCTTCTGAATTTAGCGATTCTTTAGCTACTTTTGCAGGTGTATTTAGCGACATTTGAAAGTGAGAGTTGGCATCCATGGATATGCTGCTGTTATCAGTAATAGCGCGAATTAACTTGATAGATTTTTATGAGAACCATCTGAATTATTGTTTATAATTGCATCACTAGAAGGTTCCGTTTTTGTTTTGTCTAACTGTTGATAGATGGCGCCATTGCTGAGTAAACGTTGATTTTTATGTTTACAATAATTAAAAACTGGCGGTATAACGCTTTCAGTTTATTGATATTTCCTTGCGTTTGCCAGTTTATTGAAATTTTCTTGCTTTCCGTGAGTTCCTTTTCAGTGATATGGAAATGTGAAGCTCTCTGTACAAAAAAGTAAGATTTTTGAACTTTTCATGTAATTTTTCAATGTGAACGAAATATGTGTATCAGTGAGATGGTAATAGTGTTTTAATTGTTACTCATAATCAGGGGCGTACTGAATTTCTATAAAGGCATGCTGCTGAACACCAAATGTTTCGTAAATTATATTAACAAATAAAAATTAGAACTACTGACGCTTGGTTAACAGAGGTACAGGAGTCGGACACCTCAAGCTACGCCTACAATGGGACCGCGAATATCGACACTGCTCCATGGCTAAGTGGAAGACAGTTGTCTGGTCGTATGAATCATGATTTCTCATTCATCACGTCGATTCTAGTGTTAGGGTACACCGTCTTCCAGGCGAACAGTTGCTCTGCCCTGTACAGCAGGTCATACACAGGCTGGTAGTGACGGTATTATGCTTTGAGGAACGTTCTTATGCGCGGCTCTGAGACTGTTAGTTGTGGTAAAATAGACAATAAAAGTTGCGGACTATTTTAACATAATTGCTGATCATTTGCGTCCTTACATGTCGTCTGCCTTCCCAACTGGAAATGGAATCTTTTAGCAGAACAACGCCCCATGTCACCAGGCTCGAATTGTGTTGGAGTAGTTTGAGGAGCATAAGGATGAATTCCAATTAATGTCTCTGGTCGCTTAACTCGCCGGTTCTTAACCTGATAGAGCCCATATGGGATGTCATGGAGTTGTAGATCAGAGTTCACCAAAGTGGGGGAATATCTCCACTTTCCTTGACCGCTGCTTCGATAATTGGTACAACCTGTCTCCAGTCATTTGCCAAGAGCTCGTGGCACCCATGCCAAAGCGAAATGCTGCTGTTTTGCAGGCCAAAGTCGTGCAATGCGTTACTGAGTAAGTGGTCATAAAGTTTTGGCTTTTCAGTGTACATAGCACAGATCTTTTGAAAATAATCATATATTCGTATAAAATGTATTAATTTAATGTATAAGTTAAACCGAAACGTTTCGAGATACTCCTGACTCCAGGAAAAGAAGCAAACCAACTTCAACATTAAAGCTGGATAAAATTTCCTAAGATTATAGCTCGTTTTTACAAATTTTGAGAACATAGTTTTAATAATTCTTCATATATAAATCCTGATAATCTTTCTCAACGTTTATTGCAATGTACTGAGCTCTAGTTACCTTACCTATAAATAAAGTAATTAGAAGAAATAAATTGCTGTAATGTATGCCGGCCTTTCTCTGGGAAACACACAGTTGACAGAAATTCATACTTTTAAAGAAAGAAAAGCTCTCACCCACATGTCAAAATCTTAATCTCCAAAAGGTGAAGTGAATTTATGACAGAAGATAAATGTTTCGTTCCCGAAAGAACTACATGTAATCACCCTGTTCGTATACGCCCAAAGTTAATGCTCCAGGCAAGACGAAAATTGTCATTTGTACAGAACTTTACGTTTGTTCCCAGCTTACAGATCAGCACTAATATTTGATTAAATTTTTACCTCTGTCACATTCTACTTGACAGCTAGAATTATACCAGCAGAGGATCCTAATCAGACGGTCCTAGACTCTTCTTTCTTTGTTGTTATGCCTACAGCTCTCCGTTAAAATTTCCTTGCATACGCTCATACTGATTCTAGCATTTTCTTTATTTCTCATTAGCAAAGATTTATCCATTTCACCTTTTTTTCAGTAGTATGCTGGAATAAGCATGGTCTTTCTCTTTCTATCATTCCTTCAATATTAGTACGCTATATTGTGTATCCAGCGCTTAAATTCACGCACATCTCGGCTGACCTGTTTTAGTTTTTGAATGAAATTGTAATTCCAGCCGGAACATCAAATAAGACGAAATCCGGTATTTTGTTTTATTATTTAAATATTTATAATTAATTTAATAATTTGTTAAATATTTATTTATCGCTTCACATTTCATTCGATTTTAATTTTAATTGCTTAATCCCTTTATTTTAAATTATTTCATTAGTTAAGCTATTTTTTTATTTTCGTTCCTCTTTCCTGACAGCTTTCCAAAAGGCTCCGGCATTTCTAATTTTAGAAATTAAGCCTTGATTGCATTGTCTAAATGCACCGCGACTCAGTGCAAAAAGAATTGCCAAATTTAAGAGCGTCGAAATGATTATCAAACATATTATATTTCTGTAAAAAAGGGCGGCCAGTTTTAACTTGCACGTGGGCGGCCGACGGTCTAGGATTGGTATTGCATTTCAGTAAGCACAATTTAAGAGACAAAGTAAGAGCAGATAGCGTTTCCGTAACAGAAATAAGACCAGTATAGTGAGGATGAGGCAAGCAAGTACTTTCCATTATAGCAGTGATGAAAGGAGCAAAACAGTGATGTAGACAAATGAAGTGCGGACAAGATGTCTGCCGTCTCCATCACAGATTAGTCGTAGGGAGGGGCTAATGCATGGCCCTCCTCAACTCATCGATTGCAGATCCTTTATTACTCCAGATAGACATTGGATTTCGAACAAAATGAAACTAAGTCTCAAAACTAAGAAGCATATTTATACTGCTTGTATCAGACCAATTCTCTGCTATACGGCTCCAGCTTGGAAAACAGCTATTGACCCTCAGATACAGCGGTTGCAAATCATACAAAATAAATTCCTTAATTATTATAGATGCACATTATCTAGTCAGAAATGCTCTCCTACACAAATACCTCAAAATTGAAAAACTTAAAACTTATCTACGAATAACAAACGGTTGTTTCTTCAAAGCTGTCACTAGTGATTACGTTAAGCATTCACAAATTTTAACTATGAAATCTTGCATGAAGACAGGCTTACTAGACTTCTGGCGGCTCACCTTTTCATTGACAGTGATCACAAGTTCACTCCTTAAACACTCCTTTACGGGGAGCAAGGAGATTCTTACACTTGCTGAATTTTGCATATATTGTAAATAGTGTACATATTTTTACATTATTTCTTTTATAACTTGTGCTTTACTGTTCATCATGCATTATTAAATGT